ATATTTACCAGAAGCAAGTTGTATGATAACCTGGTAAAAATCTGTGCCCAAGGAGAACATATTTTGGACGGTGGTGATGATAAAAATGAATAATGTCTTTTCTCCAGTGGAATATCATTTCTTTACCACCTATCTCCTTTACAGCATCATGCCGTATTTGGTCCATTGAAACTATGTTAATTAGACTTAATTGTGCTTAAAAGTTGCATCTGTGACAAATGTAGTGACAGTGATATTATAATTTATACAATGTTTTAAACGTATTACTTGAATACATTATTTTGTTTGTTAATTGTGTTTTTATACGATTTTTGTCAGACGATGTGTATTGCCGCATACGATATTTTTTTTTGCATTTCAACACTTTATCAAAAATAAATATATAAATAAGTATTCTCATCTTTTGACGTCATAATTGACTGCTTACTGCGTCATATCACCTGTCTGGATTATGAAGATAATCCTTGAATCTTTGTTGACGATGGCCTCTCTGGGGCTTCTATATTGTCCTGGATGCAACTCGTTATTTCTGTCATAAGCTCACTTTAACCAGAATTTAGAAGGTTCAAAATTGTTGAATAGTACTCTAGTTTTAAGTATATTTGCAGGGAAGAAGAACCACATCAAGTTCAGGGGGCTGCTTGTCAGTGCTGCAACAACAAGGATTTCGTAGAGGGAGTTAAAATCCAAGTCTGAATCATCTGTAAGGCTCAACAATGCACTGCTTAATTCAGAAAAAGATTTCTCTTTCAGTCGTCCACAAGCTTTGTTTTCATTCGATGTGTACATACGGGCATACAAGGTATCAATATTTTTTTTAAATACTGTGTGTAGAATACTTATTAAAGAACACATTAAAATATTTTTTTTTAAAATGTACCATTTTATATATCTAAACAAATAAAAATGGCCATTGATCAACAATTTTTTTTAATACAACATTTGCACAACTTACTTAGATATATTCACAAACTCACTGTGTTACCAATTTCTTTACATTTATTTCCATGTCCATTCATGATAAACATCGATACCACCTGAGTTTCTAGAACTTTAAGGTGGTATCTTAACACATATAGCTCTTTATAAAATTTGAAAAATACATCTGTAACAAAACTTTAAAATATTGATTCAAAATATACACGGTTACTTATAAATAAATACCCTTTATCTGTAATTTGTTGATTTGGGGTGGAATCCAGTGCAGATCGATTTAGATGAAGTTGGTGATGATGTCATACTTGATGTTGCTTTAGCGGATGGGGTTGAGGGTGCTTTTCGTGCTGGTGATGCAGGGAGTGGTGGGTCCGAAATTCGTTTCTTTGATTTTTCGAAAGTTTTGTCCCGGCCTATGTTACATTCATTCTCTTCCTTGCTTTCAAAGGAAAGAGGATCATATCTTGGATTTGGTCTGAATAAAAATTAATGTATTAAACAACACAAACAGGAATAACTTACTTAAGAAAAGTATAAGAAAATGTTTAAATAATCGCAGCCAGTACGTTTTCTTTCTTTTAGGTACTGTGTCTGTTTCTTCCTCCGCCTGGTCATGAAAGCCTTTTCCTAGCCTTATTCTAATCGTCTGGGTGTATAAAAATAACAATATTATAACAACATAATTTTGGATAACATAAATATATGATGTTTTTTGTTCTTCACTCATGTTCATTTTTTTTCAGCCCCGTGGGGATCCAGGTTAGAATTGGTCCTAAGTACCTCTTTCTTGTCGTAAAAGGCGACTAAATGGGGCGGTCTTTCGAATGAGATCGTTTAAACCGAGGCCCCGTGTCACAGCAGGCGTGGCACGATAAAGATCCATCCCTGCTCAAAGGCCGTAAGTGCCAATCATAGGCCTAAATTTGCAGCCCTTCACCGCCAATGGTGACGTCTCCATATCAGTGACATATTATGGAGAGGGGCGTTAAACAGAATACAATCAATCAATCATTATTTTTACTTTATATATGTAAGAAAAAAATAGATAAAAGTATTTATGATTTTTGTAAGAAATGTCAAAGTATCTTGCGAGGAATATATATATTTACCAGATTCATACAACAATCGGATGGAAAAACACATGAAAGAAGGTGTAGACTCCATGGACTGTTTAAGAGCATGGTTAATTTTCTCCACATTTGTCCACATCGGCCATTTGCACTTTTTCTTGTCATCAGTGAGCCAGGTCTTAGGAACGACCGCAACAGAGCCCTCATCAATACACTCAACCACTGCGTACATAGACCTATCACAGATCCTATCACAGATCAAACATTTATCTTACGACGCTGTATACCTAATTATATTTATTTAACTACTTGACCTTATTTTCACACATATCTATAACTGCAGTACATATAAAACAACTTTGTTATGAAACAGATTAGAAACGCTTTCAGTAATGCCTAAATCATGAACAGAACAGAGGCCTGAGTACCAAGTCATTTATTTTTTTGGCCTAAGGTTGTATAATTTGTATGTTTACCTCAATATGGAAGAAATGAAGGAAACATCTCCATCTTGCAACACTAATTTAGAAAGAATATATGCCGAAAAACTCTTGAAACGAAACAAATAACTATTGACAAAAATTTTCACAATATATTCTGATGAATATCTAAAAGCTTGCAAGCATAAAAAATCAGTAAAATTCAGTACAAAAATTTCATTCATATTAGCCTGCATTTTGTTATCTGAAATGATAAAAACGATAATTAAAAAGCCTTCCCAATTTTACAGATACAGACAATTTTGTAGTTTACTGGTGTCTCATTATATTGCAGTAATCAATTCTTTTGCACAAAAAGTAATTTTTAATTCTTACTTAAACTTTTCATCAAATGGTACATGTATTCTTAAACCTAACAATGACCTAACTTTATAGAGACCTATTTTCCAAGCTTGTTTTGTTTATTTGTATGTTTTTTCACTCATATGGAGACGCCACCACTTCCCGGTGGAGAGCTGGAAATTTGGCATATACTCGGCACTGACTGCCTGCCATTAATCAGTGAGGGGATCTTACTGCGACACGGGACCTCAGTTTATCTTTAAACGGTCTCATTCAAAGGACCAATCTCCATGTCCTACAGTGGGATTCAAACCTGTGAAGCGAGGATCATCTTCGTGTGCACTATTAGCTCTACTGGTCAGAGACCAGAAGAGCTTATGCGATAGTAATGCGTCCGGCGTCCGTCCGTCTGTCTGTCTGTCCGTCTGTCTGTAAACAATTTTTCAAAATGCTACTCCTCCTACAGTTTTGGTCTGATTTCAATATAACTTGGCACACACGTAGACTACACTAAGATACATAAAATAGAGCATCGGTTTTGATTTCGATGAACGGTGTTGCCATGGTTACTAAAAATAGAATTTTCTGTGAAATTCCTTTCAATTGCTACTCCTCCTACAGTTTTGATTTCAATATAACTTGGCACACAAGTAGACTACACTAAGATACATCAAATAATGCATAGATTTTTGATTTGAATGAACGATGTTGCCATGGTTACTAAAAATAGAATTTTCTTTGAAATTCCTTTAAAACGCTACTCCTTCTACAGTTTTGATCTGATTTCAGTATAACTTGGCACACAAGTAGACTACACTAAGATACATAAAATAGAGCATCGGTTTTGATTTCGATGAACGGTGTTGCCATGGTTACTAAAAAAAGAATTTTCTGTGAAATTCCTTTCAATTGCTACTCCTCCTACAGTTTTGGTTTGATTTCAATATAACTTGGCACAAAAGTAGACTACACTAAGATACATAGAATAGTGCATGGTTTTTTGATGTTGTTTTTGGGTTTCTCCATGGTTACTAAAAATAGAATATTCTGTGAAATTCCTTTTAAATGCTACTCCTCCTACAGTTTTGATCTGATTTCAGTACAACTTGGCACACAAATACACTACATTAAGATACATAAAATAGTGCATCGGTTTTGATTTCGATGAACGGTGTTGCCATGGTTACTAAAAATAGAATTTTCTGTGAAATTCCCTTAAAATGTTACTCCTCCTACAGTTTTGATCTGATTTCAATATAACTTAGCACACAAGTAGACTACACTAAAATACATAGAATAGTGCATCGGTTTTGATTTCGATGAACGGTGTTGCTATGAAAACTAAAAATAGATTTTTCTGTGAAATTCCTTTAAAATGCTACTCCTCCTACAGTTTTGGTCTGATTTCAATATAACTTAGAACACAAGTAGACTACACTAAAATACATAAAATAGTGCATCAGTTTTTTATTTCAATGAACGGTGTTGCCATTGTTACTAAAAATAGAAATGTCTGAAATTCCTTATAATGCTACTCCTACAGTTTTGGTCTGATGGCAATGGCTTCTTTTCTCATCCTTTGTTATAAGTACAAACCAGTAGAGCTACAGTCTCGACAGAGACTTCTGGTACTTAAACGATTTCTATCAGTAGGCCACTCCCTTACGGCATACTGCATTTGTTCCATGTTTTCCTCGATGTTACATGAAGAAAAACATAATTATACTTATTTATTTAAAACCTTGGTCTGCTGCGGAATTGAGGTTTGGCTCAGTAGTACTGACGTCATAAACGTTGTTTGACAAACCATCGCGCTTTGACGTGCCGCACCATCGGGCATTGGCGCAGACCATCGGACTTTGGAGTCCCATCTCGCTTGGGAGTCCCATATATATATTTTGTTTCCTTTCCTTCCATTCAAGAATCCTTGACTGTACATAAGAAACTTTGCAGAAGGAAGAAATCCTCAAGTGAAAAGTATAAAAACTGTTTCTGTATTGCATGGGATTGAATGGTTTGTCACTGTGAATGGGCTGGTACCAGACTACATGCATGGTGTTTTATTAGGATTGACAAAGCAGATGTTAAGTTTGTGATTTCATCGTCGAATTCAGTGCTTGTTGTCACTTCTACAGATGCACCAAGCTTGGTCTCCCCATCTTATGAATCACCTGTCTCTTCATTGATAATAAAATCAGGATCATTAGGATCTTCAGTGAAGCTTTCCTCCAAGACTATCAAATAACGTTTCAGGTTCCTCGATTTCCAAGGAATTATTGTTGCTATCAAGTTTACTAGAAATAGGAAAGTCAGGACTCAAGTCTAGAACTGGATCGACTGAATCTGCATCCTTGCTGTTAAGAGGACACGTCTCATCAGAGGCCAAAGCTATAACAGGGTCGACTTCATATGTCTGATTGTTTGAAATATCATTTTCACATAAGTGGTCTAGTAGCAACTAAGCTTCTTCTACATTCATCTTTGGTAGATGTTAAGTTGACAGTCATAGAAAATTGATCTGATTTCCCGTTCAAACGAATTAGGGTCTACCGATGCAGCTAATGATAGAGAAAAATATTGTAGATATTTACAATTTCCCTTCAGAATTCTCTCACACTGAGGCACGGTAATTCTACACCACACACATCAAGGGTAATCATATTTTGTACTGATGCAATTTCTACTAATTGTTCAGGTGTAATGTTAGTAAATGACAAGTAAAGGTGGTCTAAACTGAAACAGTTATGAATTTCACGAAAGTCAATGTCTTTTAGGAATTTGTAGCCTATAAGGTCTAATACTTCTAATGCTGGAGTTTTCTGGAGGAATGAAAGTGATGAAATTGGACTGTATGATATGACTAGCCAATAAAGATACCCAGACCTCTCCAGCGAACACTCGATCAAAAAATCAGGAATGGGGACTGTAAGATTAAGGCCTGGTAATAAAAATCTTCTGAAGCAGCTTGAATGTCGAAATTTTCTTTCAAGATTACAGACTTTCACAGAAATTTCTGTGTCAAAATCAAGAAATCGCCACAGTATTGAGTTGTCTTCTTTAAGTAAATGCAGCCGTTTACATGTCCTATTCACAACTTGGAGTAAAAATTGCAGATCAAAAAATTTGAAAATAGAGAACACTTTGTTGTCTGGGAGTTCTGTTAATTTCAACCTATGACAAAAATATTCATACGTATATATATATATTAGATGCATTAAATCAAATACTTATAAAATATTAAAATTAGGTACCAAGTTTTTACAAATTAAACATGTTTACATGGTTAAAGAAGACCTATTATTTACATTAAAATAATCATTAATATTAATTAGGACCCCGCAAGGATTTGCGGATGCCCTATAGTAATCACTCTGTCTGTCCGTCTGTCATTCTTCCGTCCACAAATTTTCTGTTTTTTTCTAATAACTTTTTTTATGGTTGTCCAATTAAGTTCAAATTTGGTATGGTAGTTCAGTAGGCAGAAATACATATTTTGATGCTAAGTTTGGTTCTCTATGTCTTCTGGTTTGGAGCTGGGGTGGTGGGGTAGATTCCTTAACTTTATATAAGAATGAATTGGGAAAGAGAGATAACTTCTGAAAATGTTGTAAACTGAATACTGCAATGAATGAGCCCCTTGGGATTAATTAGCTTTCCTCCTGAAGAAAATCCAAAGGATTTATCTTTATCTGTCACATTGAGATTAATTACCACCTCTGTCTGCAAATGAAGTTTGTTTTAAGTTAAGTCCATTTGGAATGCTATGAACACTATGAAATGTGGATTGAAATATAAATGTTTTTACTTTATTTTTGTTGAAATAGCCTACACGATGAGTTCTGATTTCATTGACTTCTAAAAAGAAGAAATAGATTAAAGAAGATATATTTTTTTATTTTTATTTGTTTATTTATTTATTTTTTCTTCATGAAAATTCAAGAATGTTATTAATTTTTAAGGCAGTTGGATAAAAACCTCATGCTATCATTACTGAAAAAGTTCTTATAATAAATTAAGAAGAAAATAATAAGAGAGAACTACAATTAATCCCTTGGGATTAATTATCTAGCCTGCTGCAGAAAATTTAGAAGGCTTATCTTTATCTGTCACTTTAAGATTAATGAAAACCTTTGTCTGCAACTGCTGTTTGTTTTGAAGTTAAGGTCAAGCCTTCATGATATGCATTTGCATTCATTGAAGGCTGGCATAAATTTATATAACAAAAGCTTCACTATTATTTAGATATACATTCCGTGTTAAGTTGTTCTTTACTGCCTTATGTAAAATAAATACAAGGATATTATTTACGGGTTTTTGGATATTCGGGAATTTTCTTCAAATTTTAAGAATACAGTTGTTGTTTCTTATTCGTCATATATTTCTTAAATTATTCCATAAGCTGCACCCTTATAATTCTACCCCAGGGCGGGGCCCTTGCTGACTGGTCAGTTTTCTAGTTCATTTTAAAGACAAAAATGTTCTAACTCCTCATACAGGACAAAAATGTTTTATTACATAATGTTCTATCTCCATTTTTTAAGTTTTAGGGTTTTGTTATTGTTTTTACTGGAAATTTTAAACATTTTTAATTGAATTGAATAATTAGCTCTTCTGAGCCAAAGGCTCAAAGAGCTAATGCTATGGCCATTTGTGCGGTATGCGTTAACTTTTTAGAATATGGCCATAACTCAAGAACCCCTTGGCCAATCAGTGGCCAATTTGTCACAGGGTATCCTTGGCCCAAGAGCTACCATTTATACTAAAATAAGGGTAGATAATCAGGAAAACAAAACCAAAATTACTGGTTGCAAAAAAATCTTCTTCTCCAGAACCACCAGGCAGATTTTCACCAAACTTACATACAATGATCAGGATATCTTGAAGATTAAAAATTGTTCAATGCATGACCCTGGGGCAAAGGGCGTGGTCTCAAGGTCACTTCAAAGTTGACCTAAATTTACAATTAATGAAAATGTCTATATTTTGTTTACTATAAGGACTAGGATCATCAAATATTGTAAGTTGATGCATCTTAGGACTTAACATCATGTTAACTCAAAAATAGGTCACGGTGACCTAATTTTTTAATTTTGCGGGCATTTGTTTTCAAATTGATTTGAAGGCATATTTTGGACACTTTAAGGTCTATGATCATCAAACTTTGTCAGTTGATGCATCTTGGGTCCTTGAACAACGTCAACTTAAAAGTAGGTCACTGTGACCTACTTTTACAATTTTGCAGGCATTTGTTTTCAAATTGTTTAAAAGGCATATTTTGATTACCTTAAGACCAACGATCATCAAACTTGCTCAGCTGATGCATCTTGGGACTCTGAAAAATGTCAATCAAAATGTAGGTCACTGTGACCTACCTTCGACATTTTATGGCTAATTTCAGTATCTTAGGTATTGGCTTAGAATCATCAAACTTTGTGAGTTGATGCATCTTGGGTTTTCGGAGAGTGACGACTAAAAATTAGGTCACGGTGACCTACTTTCAATATTTTATGGCTATATTTATGTATCTCCAGTACTTATCGGCTTGGAATCATCAAACTTTGTCAGTTGATGCAAATTGGGTTTTCAGAGAATGTCGACCAAAAAGTAGGTCACAGTGACCTACTTTTGAATATCTCAGGTATTTATTGGCTTAGAACTGGTTTCTGCGAAGCACTCTATTTTCTGCAATAAAAGAAATATCCGAAACATGTATTTGTTGTCAATATTTATATTTACACAAAGACATCTAATAGCCATTCAGGCTAAAATTTACTATATTCAAAATCAGAATTTAAACAAATATGTATATGAGGTGCCAAATATTAATAAGTGAAACTTTTTAATGATTTCTGTGTGTGAAAAAGTGTTAAATAATGATAAGTTTAAAATGGATTTCCTTTCTTATACTTTGATTAAATAGTTTTTCCACAAATTTCAATTCAGCATTAATACATGTACATACGCTAATCTTTGTCCTGAAGGTTGTTGACAGTGACACTTCATTCCGATAAGAATTTGTCACTACGTCAGTTATTTGAACATAATCCCCAGGTCGAACACTTTCTTCAGTATTTTCTCTCCAGAGAGAAACTTTACATCTGGAAGATGTATTTTCAATGTAGATGTTCTTTACTTTTGTCTTTTCTTCTTTGAATAACACACCGGTCACGGTAGCCTAGTGGTAGAGCGTTCGCTTCGTGATCGGGAGGCCCGGGTCCGATTCTCGATCGCGGCGCCGCGTCATACCTAAGACGTAAACAAAGGTTGTGACTGTTCCTTCGCCAAGCGCTCGGCACTAGAAGTGAAAGTCACGGGTCTTTCGGATATGACCTTAAAAACGTAGGTCCCGTGTCACGGTAGGCGTTGGCACGATAAAGAACCCTCACTGCTCAATGGCCCTGAGTGCCGAGTATAGGTCTAAATTTGAAGCCTTTCACCGGCATCGGTGACGTCTCCATATGAGTGAAAAATTCTCAAGAGGGACGTTAAACAATATACAATCAATCAATCAATCTTTGAATAACACTTCTCTCGTTGCTTCTTCCTGTAATTGTTAAATTCAAAATATACAATATTTTAAAATAATAATTTCAATATGGTTAACAATAACTTTTTTCCACTGTCATCTACTTGTATGTAAAATCTTAAGGAAAAATTAATGATCTTCAGTTGATAGATTACTTGTACGCCTCTTTTAACGGACATCACTTTGTATTTTTAGAAACACTTCTTTTTATTTCAATTCTTACAAAGCACTCTCAATATAAGTTTAAAGCAACTAAAAGAATTATTATGTCAAACATATATAAAACACACCTTACCTGAACCACTTTGCCTCTGACTGTAACCCTTGCTTTAGGTGGAAAGTCAAGTGCCTCTTTCACATTTACCACTGGTGCTGGAGGAGGATTTAATATTTCTCTCCCACGTTGCTGTATGGCTGCTGGGAGTTCAAATTCAAAAGGTGCACAAGTAAATACTTTCGTGTTTGATGTTACAACTACTCCATCCGTTTTCTTGATGACATTTCGTAAAATGAGGTACTGTCCTTCTTTAAATCTAGGAAACTTTGTTGAGTCATAGATCGTGCATTTTACTGCTTTTGAGTGATCCACAACAGCAGCATTCATTAGACTTTTGCTTTCATTTTTGTCGTTTCTATAGTTCACTACATCGGTGATGGCAACAACTTGAATCTTTAAACTTTTGGTATAAGGAACCTGTCCACTTTGAGTCATCAGATCCTCTACGGAAATTGTGGTTGCCTAAGAAACAGTTGTTTTCAAGTGTTATTTATAATGTAATTGAAGGTAGATTTGGTGTTTCTTATTTATCACTTTTTAAAGATAAATTATCCTACATTCTCCAAGTCATTATTCACAATTCCATCTCCAAGTTTATTATTATTTTTTAAAACAAATTTTCAATATAAGTATACTAACAAATCTTTCTAGAATTATATATGTGCAAAACATGTACACCCTAATATGTCTATTCAAAGTTTGCAAACCATACCCGCTTTTAAACTCTTATGATTTACAAAATCTGCCTCTTATTACACTTATTTATAAGTCTTGTTTTTAACCTGTCATCAGATAACAGGTATAAATATGCTGAAAAGGTGCATATACTTTACCAATTTAATTTTCCAACAAGCTTAAAATAAGCCTATTGAATTTCTAGAAGATGACTGCGAAAACAATTTACACCTATATGCAAAACATGTACACCCTAATATGTCTATTCAAAGTTGGCAAAAACATCGATTAAAGATTACCGGTATGTAAAGTACTAAAAATTATTTTAATATTTAGATTGGAATTAAAAACATACATACCATGCTAGCTTTCTACTTCTCCAACGCTTGGTGTAAAATGATCACGATGGAGACGCCAATTAACGAAGTGTCAAAAGTTGCAAGAGGGTGGAGACTCTGGGGCCAGAGAATGCAAGTTGTGGAACTTTTTATAAATTTCAACACTAGTCTATTAAATCTGTCATTTCAATTTCCGACAAAATTGGTTAGGTTTATTATTCAAACAACAGTAGGTAATTGATTCTGACAGAGGTACAGATAGGGAGGGTTCTGTATAATAATGATGCTAGCCATACAACCAATTTAGGTTCTGAGTCTTGAAACTGGAAATTGAAATGACAGATTGTAAATTTTTCATGTTAAAATTGACATAAAAACATCCACCTCTTGTGACCTCCGACAATCCAGAGAACGGACAGCGCTGGAGAGAGAGAGAGGGGGGGGGGGTAATTGGCAGAAATATTTTATGACTGCAAAGATGTCAACAAATGAATAGCTTGATAAATCTGTTAGAAAACAGATGATGAATGATATTCAGTAACAAACTAAGGTCAGATTTATCAGCGACTCTGCAATGCTAATCTTTAAACTTAAAGTCTTAACAGATTTAATAAAATATTATATAGCTGAAAAATATACAATGGACTGGTAAAGGAGAAATGGTCTCCAGTTTCAAATTTTTCCCGATTATTAATAACCAAAAAAAAAAATACACTCAAAAAATAATGTGTTCATATACTAAAATCTGTTCATTAATTAGATTGCAAATTGATTAGAAAGCTATTATAGTATTGACTTTTTTAAAGCTGAAATGTTAATTACCAAGAATTGCAAAATAACATGGAACAAAGCAATACAAACGACCCTTTTTAAAAAAAACTTGTTTGAACATAAAAAAAAGGTAGGAAATTGAGACACGATCTTCCTCCTAGCAGCACAATGTTTGATACCAGATTAATCTGTCGAGACTTCTATATGATTAATCTGTCAAAAATCAAGGTACGCCCGCAAGAACAGTCGTAAATTTGACCTCTGTTAAGAATGTTTCAGATTAACTCAGCTCTTTAATTGCCCCATTTACTGATAGTTTACAATCAATATTATCTATATCACTTCATTTGTTGATGTCTTTCATAATTTTTTCTTTTATTCTTTCAATTCAATAAAAAATTAAAAATAATGCAACATTCACATAATTTCAATGGGAATGCTTGGCATACATGTACGTACAAGAGTTCATTTATGTAAACAATGCACACATGGCGATCGGATGCAGTAAGGACTTCCATCATTGTTCTATAATTAGAGGTGGTCTTATCAAGCTTGAATATCGCACGGAGAACTGCACTCAGTGATCTGTTTTGGTTTCCCCGAGACACATTTAAATTCTACATTTTAATTGAAAATCTACGTCAGCGAGAGTGTTTTTATCAGCGAATGAGCGCAGCATGTAGGGTTCTTTACATTACTGATCACCTGTCTGTACTCTGTATGATGCGCACATTGAAAATCTACGTCAGCGAGAATTTTTATCAGCCAATGAGCGCGGCCAGCAGCGCACTGTTAACATTACTGATCACCTGTCTGTATACAGCGCACAGGCAAGACAGTTTATCAAAGTCAACGTGATTTGCCGCTAGATGGCGATCGCAAATTCCCTTCCGCCGCAGATGAGCGGTACCAATAGAGCGGAGGCTTTAAAGCCTCCGTCTAAAAATATATATACTCGTATATATAATTAAAAAATATTAAAAAACAACCTAGCTATTAAACTTTTTTTTTCAGAATTTACTCCTGCTCAATCTGTGAAAAAATTCAACTGATTTTTTTAAACTCGATACCCGGTGTGTATAAATCTGTTACTAATTTTGCTGTAGTAAATGTAATTTCTGCATCTGATAGACTAACCCTACACTTAGACATTATACTACCGATGATAAATTGTTGATATGGGCTTGATATATGTTATTCATTTTCTCTCAAATTTGTCTTGAATGTCATTTTCATCCTAAAACATCTTTTTATCTTAGATACTGAAAGTACAAGTTCCAAACACTGTACCTTCATCTAAGATAAGGACGAAGCTTCAAGTCTGTGAGGAAAACGATTAATCTAACAAGACTTCGCATATCATTCAAATTACTGTAGATCACTTCATTTTCGAGACATCTTATTTTCGCGAGATAGTCATTACGTGTAACTATTTATTAGCATGACAATTTTTTTTTTACGAATTGTGGTTATTGTTCTTACTGTAAGGAGTACTTATATATGTGCGAGAGAGAACACTGTCTCGCTTAGTTATGCGGAAATAAATTTCTAATAAAAAGTGATTTACAGTAGAACAAAACCATACCTCTTTGGCTCTGTAGGATCACGAAATCCACTTATAAATGCATTTGCATCTCACATACCTCAATCAAGAAGCATTAATATAAGTATAATTTGGAAAGTGGGCAAGGTTACACACATCGAATTCAGATTCGAATCCTAACGAAAGACTTGGAGACCGGTCTTTCGGATGAGACCGTCTAAACGAAGGTCCCTAGCTGGTTGCAGTAAAGACTCCTCTCTGCTCAATGGGTGCCAAGTATAAACAAAAAAAAATTGCAGCTCTCCACCGGCAAGTGGTGGCATATCCATATGAGTCAAAAATTCTCGAGAGGGATGTTAAACAATATAAATCAATCAATCATACATCGAATTAATTTAATAATCAACTCCCACCAGTACTTTGATTTGGAAATAAATTTGGTGGTGTTTTTTTAAGATGTGTGGTTGACGGCGTGGGGGGGGGGGGGGTCGTCTGACAACTTCCTCCAGATCCGTCTTTAAAATGACGCAAATGTTATTAGATAGTATGACTATAAACAGATAACGACATGGGACAAACTTAAAACCCAGGGTATGCATATATACTTTTTAGATTGCCCATTCCCGTCGACAAATTGAATTCAACAACCAAAAAATAATTTTCTGCTTTCTAAATCAAATATAAATCTGTTTATTTTAGATCAAAAGTGTATGCTTTTGCTGAATAGTAGCAAATGAACAGTGTAAAGGGGGATATTGCATACATTTGTTATAGACAATGTGAAGGGACCGAATAAAAGATATTCATGGATTGCTTTCATAAAAATATAATCAATTAAAAAATCAATATGAAAAGCAGAGCAATGTTACCTGTCGACAAAAATTAAGGCCTATACTTATTCAATACCTATGTTTTAAGAAAAAGAGGAAAAGGTCCTATCAATATCAATTTTGCTAGCTACAACGTTCCCGTCCTGTTTGATTCACTACGATATAACGAGATGCAGAATTGGCTTTAAATAGTTTAGGGAGGGGGATAAAAAGGTGACAAATTAGAGAATTTTAGGATAGACAATTTCGGCGAGACCCCCCCCCCCCCCAAAAAAAAACTGTAGAGCTAAAGTATTTTATTATCAATCAAAAACATATAAGTATACATAGGGAGGAAAATCTCTCTCTCTCTCATTCAGTCTTTTGCATTAAAATATTTTGGAGAAAAGTCTACTTAGAGACCCTCTTATAATCCACACAAGATGTGCCTACGACTTTTTGGATTCGATATCATAGATAATTAGTGCTAATTGTAACGGGGACCGTTACAGATGTTCCCCAAACGCTCCCCAACTCCCTTTTATAGTCATATTCCCTGTAAGCGTAATTAAATAAGACAAACTCTATGCATTTGAGACTTTAACAACGTTTACCCAGAAGTGTACCATAATCATTCAAATTTTATCATTGCACACTTGCGCATGTGAATTCATGTGCATAATGACCATATCATATTGTCTACACAATCTATATATTTTAATATGCTAAATATTTAAGTATTTAATCCAAAAGTATTAAAAAACGCTCATTCAAGTGTAGTTTTGATTTTACCCATTTCACGTGCACGCACGTGCATACATGAGCATGGTGACATACCTTCTTGTAGAAGTCTATTACATCTATCTATGTTCTAAATCCCACCCCGTTTGGTTGAAAACCAAGGGAGTTATACCTGTTTAAAGTTTTAGCCAATCAGATTGCAGCGCACGTACAAGCACATGTATGCATGTGCATAGTGACCATAGCTTCTTGTAGAAGTCCATTATATATATCTATGTTCCAAATCTCATCCTGTTTGGTTGAAAACCAAGGGAGTTATAGCTATTTCAAGTTTCAGCCAATCAGATTGCAGCGCACGTGCATGCACGTGTTTTCATGATGATTGCTATACATCATGTTGTAGGATATCCTTATGCATGGCTACGTTCAAAATTTCAAAGGATTTCGTCAAAAAACAAGAAAGATAATATGGCTTTAGTTTCAGCCAATCAGAGCGAAGCGCACGTGCATGCGCGTGAGATCTTGCTATTTTGACCATGTCATTTTGTCTATGCCACAAATAATCCTTATATTATGAGTTTCAAAGCATTTCATCAAAAATGTGAAAAGTTATGCCTATATCAATTAAATCGGTCATTTCACGTGTTGCACGTGCGCGCTCTTGCAAGCACGTGCGGGCAAAATGACCTTTGTTCGGCAAATCTACATAACATGTCTACTGACCCTAAAAACATTTTACCTCAGTCAGATGTGTAGTTTACAAGATCACTCAAGTATAAAATTTTCCCAGGAAGAAAAATAATAATAACTAGATGAGATCTCGTTGCGAGCAACGAGTAGGTCTTCCGGCCGACTTTTCTCCAGTGATCAAAGCAATTAACTCACGTATGGATAAATCAGAACACAAACCATTTATTAGGTTTTCGTGTTCAACATTGAATTTTCCTTTTAAGGTCATACGCAACGTAGTTTGAACATTTTTGGACTCTTCCCTGGACTTGAAGAGTTCCACTAAATGAAGGACCTGTGTGCAATATTTTTAATCTCTATATATGGATTTGTACACTTTTTCTAAAACAATTTTCAATGAGAAAAAAAATCTGGAATTCATGTTTTATAATTTTTGTACATTTTTATTTGAATAATGCAAAAACCTGATATCTTTTCAAAACCCCTGGTAATGCATCCTGAATTTTTGTCTAAGAACATGTAATGGTATTATAAGTTTAAATTTAGAATATCTTGGAAAATTATCAGTAGGTAAGGTACGTTGCGCATGTCCTTAACATTAGGGATAAGTTTCAGAGAGATGAATGTTCAATAAAAAATATTTTAAAAAAGAAAACATTCATGAACAGTTCTTTGATGTATATTAGACTAAACAAGACATAAGAAAGGAATACATTGAATTTTTTTGTTTTATTCAGATATGATTTTGGTAACTTTAAAACAATACTGTAAAGGAAGGTTGTACATAAATTCTACATTTCTTAATATGAGACACTTTTAAATTTATGTGGATCATTTCTCTTTTTAATGGCTGGATTTGGATATTGTATCGTAAAATTATAAATTGCAAAAATGTTCTCTGAGTGCCTTTGTTGAAAATGCTACTATTAGTAAAGTATTACAAGAAACAACAACCAAGAAAACTTGCAGATAATTAAAAATGTGTTGAGTGTGGGGACTGATGTCTATGTTTTTTCTACTGCTGTATGATCAAACTGCATTTTTCACAAATTAAATAAAAGATTAAACTGTTTGCATTTATGAAGGATAAAATTAGCATTATTTCAAAATCTAGAGAATGACTTGCAACAAACATACATTGTAGTACACTTTACTAAGGTTGTGGATATTGCATTTTTCAAAAATTAAATAAAAGATTTAACTGTTTGCATTTATGAAGGATAAAATTAGCATTATTTCAAAATCTAGAGAATGACTTGCAACAAACATACATTGTAGTACACTTTACTAAGGTTGTGGATATATGTGGCATTAATAATTTATTGAAACATTTTCAGTGAAAATATCATTAAAAATATGATCAAAGATAGAAACTATGGTGCAGCCTAATGACATCAATATGTATAATTATAACATTTAAAATTAAATTGAAGCAGTAACCATCTAATCCTACTTTGGATTATCTACCGGTCGGGCAAGTCTGTGTCAACGAGTTCGAAGAGATCAAGAACAGCACGAGTCCTACTTTGGATTCTCTACTGGTTAAGACGAAGAACATTATTTGGCAAGATTAAGCGTTCTAACAGATTTGGACAAATCAACTGCAGCAGATTTATTCTTTAGTCCTACTTTGGATTTTCATCTGCCTGGTCGGGTAATGTCACCTTGTTGCTGTAAAAGAAAAATTTTATTCATTTTCATAATTTTTTTTATTTTACAAGAATAATTTCTTCTTTTATATATATATATATATATATATATATATATATATATATATATATATATATGTGTGTGTGTGTGTGTGTGTATGTACTAGTTCTAATTGGAAAAGAGAATCGAAATCCCCCCCCTATTTTTCTTGGGTCTCTGATCCTTATACATACTCTTCAATTTATTATAAAGAATTCATATATCAATTATTGATTTTCATATTTTTTTTTTTAAATGAATGATAATTAAAGACTCAAGGAAGACTAGAAAAATGATCAAGATTCATGGGCCACGATGCTTACTTGAGTAATATTTGTCTTACTTTGGATTCCCTACTTCCTGGTCGGGCAATGTCACCTTGGTGCTGTAACAGAATATAGAATGATTGATTTGACAGAGATTTATGGGCCACAATGTTCACTTCACTTGAGTAAGGAAAAAGTAGAAATTGGTTTATTATTAAGAAGTTTAAATCCAAAAGTAGTCCCATGAACAATCATGGCTTTGGTAATCTTTAGAACATGATTTTAATTTTTTTTTCCTATATATGATTATGTAAAACTCTATGGGCCATTGTGGCTTTGCCCTACCCCCCAGGGGTCATGATCTTTGCAAACTTGAAACTACACCAGCTGATGTTGCTACCCAATATGACCAATTATGGCTTTGGAATTCTTGAGAAAAAGATTTTTTTTTTGGTTTAAAAATCCTATATTTTTATGTTGGCAATCTTGGACCCGCCCAACCCCTGGGGGTCATGATTTGAACAAACTTGAATCTACACTACCTGAGGGTGCTACCATACAAATATGATTAATTATGGCTTTGTTATTCTTGAGAAGATGATTTTTTAAAAAAATTTCTTAAATATTTCTATGTAAAACTTTGGTCAGCCGTTGTGGCCCCACCCTACCCCCAGTGGTCATGATTTGAACAAACTTGAATCTACACTACCTGTGGATGCTTCCATATAAATATGATTAATTATGGGTTTGTTATTCTTGAGAAGAAGATTTTTAAAGAATTTTCCTATATATATTTTCTGTAAAACTTTGGTCTTCATTTGAACAAACTTGAATCCTCTTCACCTATGGATGCTCTGTGGAAAGTTTGGTTGAAATTGTCCCAACGGTTCTTGAGAAGAAGTCGAAAATGTGAAAAGTTTACAGATGGACAGACAGACAGACAACGGACAATATGTGATCAGAAAAGCTGACTTGAGCCTTCGGCTCAGGTGAGCTAAAAATGGGTGATCAGGAATGGATACTTGAGCTTTTAGTTCATGTGAACATAAAACATTACTAGATTTCTTATATATGTGCATTATTGTTCTTAATTGCAACTTACACTGATTTAAGTGTGGACCCTGCTCTTCTTCCTGTTATTTTAGTTCCATCAACAAAGGATCGAAGAGGAAAAATGATATCCATCACATCCGTCGGCACTCTAAATATTGTTTCTTCAATGTAGATCGTATTGGCCTCTCTAAGAAAAGACATTTTAATTTTTTTTTTTCAAGATGAGTAATGCAAGAAAAACAACATTAGAAAAGTGATCAGTTTCTTGTGTTGCTAATAAAGGGAATAAAACAAATCTGTATTGGAGCAAGAGGATTCCAAATTTTCATGTGTAATACTGTAAATCACTAAATTTTCCCAGCAATTTATATTCGTGAGATAGTCATAGAGTCTTGATTAGGGAAATGAAATTTTTATCGATTTTAAGTTATTAATCTATATAATCTTAAGGAGTACTATAATACAGAAGAATCAATATTTGCAAGCACATTGTCTCGTGTTATTAAGAGCAAGTATGTGCATCTTTTTAGATAATAAGAGGAAACTACAAATAATTGGAATGTTTTGTAAGCCTAAGGGGGCATAATTCTGTCAAAAATAGTGCAATCATACCAAAAAGAAAAGTTGGCATAGATATTAATCTCATGAATCTGTATATTAAATTTATTTTCAACATGGGAATCTCAGGGAATGAAATGAATGGGAACTGCAAATAATTAAAATATTTCCAAGTCCAAGGGGCATAACTCTGTCAAAAACGGCATGATTGTATCCAAAACAAAACTTTATCTAGATATTAATTTAATATGTCTGTGTACCATATTTCATTTTAGTATGTGGAATGCTTGTGAAGAAAATGATTGGAAACTTAGTGGAATGACAGACAGTGGGAAAGGAATATGCCCCAATTTCTGTGAAGGGGGACATAAAAAATATTTGGCTCCTTGTCTTGACAGACTGAATAAAATTTCCTAAGCTCCAACTTTTTTTTTTTAATTCCTGGACACATTGTTTTTCTAAATATTATTTATTTTCAGTAAATAAATAAGTTGAAATTTTCATTTATCTTATGAATCTCTTGATTGACTTTATTTATATGGTCCAAATAAATTAAATGTGTACTTCACAAAATGGCAAGTCAATATGTGCTTAAATAATATGTCAATTTTGAAGAAAAATGATATACATGTATTAAGAATGAGAACTTAGTGATTGATTGAGAATAAAAACCTTTACAATATTTCTCCCTCTTACTAAAGTCTATTTGTAAATTTGAAATGATTTCGATATTTAGAATTTGAATAACATGGTAAGTACCAACTAGGAGCGATAAATATGCATATATATATATATATATATATATATATATATATATATATATATATATATATATATATATATATATATATATATATATATATATATATATATATATATATATATATATATATATATATATATATATATATATATATACACACACACACACAAATGAAGTGCTTTGACAGACAATAAATTACAATTAAGAGAATAAGAGAAGAGAGATCTTTAATTCTTGTGCCTTATTCCCTGGAGATTTGATAACACACACACGCTTGATAAGAGATACGCCTTAACAACCTCCAACACCTAACTCATTAATTTATCTTTAACTGGATGCATGTCCAGTCATTATTCCCAAGAGACAAATGAATTTACATTATCTTCTATGTAATGTAAAACTTGATGATGTTTCTTTTTTTTTAGTTTTAATGAGTTGTTTTAAGCTGTACTAGTTCACATTTTTGTACAGATATTCTAGATTCTATCTCTCAAACCTTATAAATGAGCCCAAAATGAACAAGTCAATTTAAATAAAAAGTAAAACCTGTAAAATGCAGAAAAATAAACAAATAAAGTTGAAAATTCCAGGTGCACACCTTCATATGGTGAATAATAAGTGTGCAAATTTTCAGATAAATCCTTGCAATAGTTTGTGAGAAACGGTCTGCACAAGACCACAAAATAAAAATGAAAAAACACCTGTAAAATTCAAAATAATCATCCAATCAAGATGAAAATAGCAGGTGCACACCTTCATATGGTGAATAATATGTGTATAAATTTTCAGACAAATCCTTCCAATAGTTTTTGAGAAATCGTCCGGACAAAATCTCGTCTACAGAGAGACAGACAGACAGACAGACAGACAGACAGACAGACGGACAGACGGACATGGTGATTCCAATATACCCCCCCCTAAACTTCGTTTGCGGGGGTATAATTAATCTTGATATATCAATTTGAAATGCATTTTGAAAATAAAGAGCTGGTCATCCAGTAATGAAGTGCTTTGACAGACAATAAATTACAATTAAGAGAATAAGAGAAGAGAGATCTTTAATTCTTGTGCCTTATTCCCTGGAGATTAGATAACACACACACGCTTGATAAGAGATATGCCTTAACAACTTCCAACACCAAACTCATTAATTTATCTTTAACTGGATGCATGTCCAGTCATTATTCCCAAGAGACAAATGAAATTACATTATCTTCTGTGCAATGTAAAAACTGTTTTTAACACTTGATGATGTTTCTTTTTTTAAAGTTTTTATGAGTAGTTTTAAGCTGTAGTATTTTTGAACAGATATTCTAGATTCTATATCTCAAACCTTATACATGAGCCCAAAATGAACAAGTCAATTAAAATAAAAAATAAAACCTGTAAAATGCAAAAAAAATTAACAAAGAGAGTTGAAAATTTCAGGTGCACACCTTCATCTGGTGAATAATAAGTGTACAAATTTTCAGATTAATCCTTGCAATAGTTTCTGAGAAAAGGTCCTGACAAAACCACAAAATAAAAATGAAAAAAACACTTGTAAAATTCAAAATAATAGTCGAATCAAAATGAAAATATCAGGTGCACAACTTCATATGGTGAATAATATGTGTACAAATTTTCAGACAAATCCTTCCAATAGTTTCTGAGTAATGGTCCGGACAAAATCTCGTCTACAGACAGACAGACAGACAGACGGACATGGTGATTCCAATATACCCCCCCCCTAAACTTCGTTTGCGGGGGGTATAATAACAAACAGAAAGATAGTAATTACAATATGGGAGCCTTAACTAAGGGCTTATCCTTGCAGGTTCATAGCAAGAAACCGAATAGAAACATGTTCTTTAACTTTGTTGATTTTAAGTGATGTATTGTATATTATGCTAACCTGATATGTCGTCAAAGGAGTAGAGTTTAAAGAGAAAGTCTCTTTAAAAATGTCGACTGTTAGACATTTAAAGAGGACTGATTCCCCTTCCACTGGATGAAGGTTTGATTTGTTTCCCCAGAGCTTTATCTGAATTGTCTTGTCATCCTCTAGTTCGATTAGTCTCCTTTTACTCTTTTCAATTTCCAAGATAGAAGTCACCTATATGTAATCATTAAAAAAAAATTATCTTTGAATCATCCAGAAAATTAAGAATTAATTCTAAACTTTATTCATTAAATTATCAGGGGTGTGCAATTATCATTACCCGATGCTTTAGGTTACTAGTTTTAGAGGTCCGGCTATTTTAAATCTATACTGCGTTTGCCCATTGGGCTAGTAAATCCAAAAAGAAAGTAAACATGGTAAACGTAAATTTACCTTAACTGAATCGATGTACGAATTAACTTTTTGATCCAGGGATCTTGAAATGCATAATAAATTTGTAATTTATATAGCCTCCCCCCTCCCCCAACTCCTGACCCGAGAAACCTCAATGTGATTAAGAACCACGAACGATAGTATTGTTCTCACGCCTACCTCTAAGTCAATTCTCAAAAGTTAACCTATTCAAATGGTTTTCAAAATTTTTATAGATATTTATATGAATTTTAATAAAAAGTTAATTTTTGGGGATAGTCATACCAAATAGAGATAACTCTATAATTTTGCTAAAACTTGAGTTTTTCACTATAGAAATCAATAGAAAATGGAAAATATTTTTAAAACATCTTGAAAACATTGGAAGAGGCCCTTTTTTCATTGTAATTTAAGGTATGTAGGTAGTCTGTTTAATATATTTCAGGAAAAGAGAAAAAAGTTTTTCAAAGAAATTTCATGTTCACAATACATGTATAACCCATAGAACCCTTCCAAACACTAGAACTCATGACACCGTGAGCCATGTAGGCTTTATAATATCCAAAGGGAGCTGAGAGTCTCTGATATGTTTTTTAGATCGTAAATCAAGTGGTTTTATACACGTTTTCCTTTTATGATACAAATCTTCATCCTGCGTTTGATTGATTGATTGATTGTATGTTATTTAACGTCCCTCTCGAGAATTTCCACTCATATGGAGACGCCACCACTTGCCGGTGGAGAGCTACAAATTAATTTTGTCCTATGCTCGGCACTCAGGGCCTTTGACGAGTGATGGATCTTTTTCGTGCCAGCATCTACTGCGACACGGGGCCTCGGTTTATACGGTCTCATCCGAAGGACTGGTCTCCACGTCCCACAGTGGGATTCGAACCCGCGACATAAGGATTGACTCCTTACTTCACGACTCTAGAGCAGACGCTCTAACCACTGTGCCACGCGGGCGACATATTTTGCGTAAGAAAAACACAGTTATACGCAGGATTATCGACATTTGCTTTCAATTTCAGAATATATTGTAGAATAAGTTTAATTCTACGTAAGTCAAGGAGTGGTTAATTTGCCTCGACATATAAACTGTCGTTAGGAGAAGTTCGAAAAGCTCCCAAGCAGAGTCTAAGACCTTGGTGGTCATCAATCTAGTATGCTAACACGCTTAAATCGACGCATTCTAGGATGTTTTCATTTTTTTCTTTCGGTAGGTGAAGATTTTCGATTTGTATAGACACATTTTGGCATATATACAATACAGATGCAATTGGAATCATGGTTACTGAGCGATTTATTATCTTAAAGTCCAAGATCGAGTTTTCCTTTTAAGCAAAATATTTCCGTTGATGACTGTTGAACCAGCAACAAACGATCCACCTCACTTGTCTGTTTTGGCTTTCCGTAGAGTTTTTAATTGCAGAACTGTAGCTCTCCGAAAAAAACATTTTGACAGACCGGAGAGTACAGTGACACCTATTGTAAAAACTGTGTATTTATTGCGTACAAAGAGTTGCGCTTAGTTCTGGTTAATCCTTCAATCTTCTTACCTCAATCGCGAAAAAGATAGATTTCAAGAAATTCCTTACTCCTCTATGAAGTACTCAGGTAGTTGACATCAGCACGAAGTGCTTTTGACCGAATTATTTTGCAAACCAAAATAGCAGTATAAATAGTCGAAATTTTCGATGATCTCAATTTCATGGCCAGGAGGTCCATTAACAAAAATTATAGGGAAGACTATGTTGTGGAAACAGTGAAAGAATATGTTAGGAACACACGGTTAGTAATATTTTGAGATGACAGTTTAAAAACATGGTGAAATAAATCGAGAAACAGCGCACTTTTCTGTGCGCAATAAATATAGTTTTTTTCAATGGGTGGCACTGCAGCTCCCCGGTTTGTCAATATCTATTTTTTTGGAGAGCAACAGTTCTGCAGCTACGTAGAGTTTTACTATTTGATGTGGCGTGTAAAAGGTAAAAGTCATTGTCATCATCCTCTGTGCACAATACAGCAAACACCGCTCCTTCAGTAATAATGTCAGAATTCTGATGTGTAGACTCGCTATTCAATTTTATTTTAAGGAAGGGTATTTTAAAATAGTTATCAAACAATAAATTTATACATATGTCATCTAATATTAGGAATGAAGGTTGAATTTAATATTGAATGTTTCATAGACAATATAATCCCCCGGGTGGCGTAGAGGTGTCCTCTTTCTAGATACATGTGAAACAATATCATTCAAAATTATATCCCTAAAGGGGGGGGGGGACGGAAAATGTTTTTTAACTGTTTTTTTAAATTCGATTCTCTAAACAACAAGAAAGCTAATCGTGTCATCTTTACTTTCAATGTATAATTATGTTCCCCAAACGAAGTTGGGGAACATATTGTTTTTACTCTGTTTCTTCTTCTTCTTATTAAGGTCTTCGGACTTCCTTCGGAAGACCTTATTGTTTTCCGTCGGTTTCCTATAATTATTATTAGTATTATTCTTTTTTTCATTTCTATGGCGATATCTCAGCTGTGACTGTACGGATTTCAAAGATTTTTACAGGAAAGATGCACCAGGTTAAGGGTTTGCTTTTGTGTGCAGCCAAGTGAAACTCACTGAAAATAAAAACCTAAATATCTTTAAAAATAAGCCTTGCAAACACTTGAAAACTGGCCCATTTTATCTTCATAATGAAAACTATCTTTGGGTATATGCAGCTATATTGACACATGCAGTAGTTTGCAGCTATGAAGTGCACAATACACCTGCAGGACTGCGCAGCCACAGGTTTTAGTAGTGCATTAAAAAATCCAAAAAAATATGAAATAGATAAATAAGCAAAGTGGCTACAACTATTTGTTAAGAACCATTGTTTTAAATGTAAACTCACTGCAACAGGTACAATTCTTTAAATGCATACCATCAGGTCAACAAGAAAATGTTAGCCATTAAAGTAGTGCCAACCACATGGCAATGTGTTAAAAATAGAATTAAAGAGACTCACTGTTGTTCTATAAATAGCACTTTATATGAAAGCCCAAATTTATTAAAAGGATTACATTACAATGGTGTGTACAAAAGAGGGAAATTAATGTTAGAATATTATTTTTCTCCTTAACAAATATGCTAATAAGAGATTAAAAATCTGTTGTGTAATGAAAGTGTGCAATTTGAATGACACTTGGCCCACAATATTTACTTGAGTCCTGGTGTTCTTCACATTTCTAAGACATTCTTATCCCCCTTAATTCTCGTGAAAAACAAATATGAGCCAATATTTTGGCCCCACCAAGGGGTCATAAGGCCACATCTAATCCAAAATTGATTCCGCGACATGAGGATATTTCATTATCAATATGGCTAACAAGGCTAATTCTAAAGAAAAATGTCCCCCCCCCCCCCCATGTATGTATACATACATTGACCAGTTATATAAAATCTGATCCCAGAAGAAGAAAAAAAAATGAAAATACAAATAGGGAATATTTTAATATTGTTAATACATTGTATTAGGTCTGGTTCATGATTTAGACCAACTTGAATGTTCACCATTTGAGAATGCTCACACTGAATTATGAGTAAAACATTACCCTGTGGCTCGTTAAAAGACAATTTCTTTACTACATATTCCCATTTGATACCCTATTTTAGAGTTTAATTTTCATGGATGACAGATAAACAGAGTTAACAGACACAAGAGACCCTTTGATCAGAAAAGCTCCATAGATTCTTTTGTTAAGATGACCTAAGATATAAAAATGTCTTTGATTATTGTAAAAAAAAAAATCACAAAGAAGAACAAAACAAAAGGATGATCAATGAACTTTTATTTTAATTCTTCATCACTTCCAGAATATTATATTTCTTTTAACTTGTTATCCAGCATATATAAGTTTGACTAATTTTATCTAAAAGTCTCTTTAAGGAATGAAGCTAATTTCAACTTATGTTATCCGATATAACATAACTTGGGGCAGTTTACGCTTTATAAACCGCGAAGCGGTTTATAAAAAAGCGTAAACTGACCCAAGTTTTGTTATATCGGATAATATAAGTTGAAAGTAGTTTCATTCCTTATAATTTAATTCCAGTGTAGACATTGAGACAATATTTCCTCCGGAAAAAGACTTCAAATTGAGCATTATTTTAAAAGTAACGTCAAGCGGAGTAATATATTTTTGACATAACTCATTGTGACGTAGGCAAGTTATGTTATCCAAAATATTATATGTTCCTCTGAATGATTCAGCCAATCAAATTGCTTGAATCAAGTGAAATTAAATTATTTAAAGATAAAGGTATAATTCTATAAATAAACTTCAATCTTAACAATATAACTGCAGTATGAGAATATCTGAGACTTGTGTTTTAAGAATTGGTTTCAAAAGACTGATTTAAAAACATTTTGTGCATTTAATGCACTGAACAAGAATACATATAAACTAGGTATTAAATTTAATTATAATATCCTTAACCAAGATCCCAAAATGTTCTTCATTGCAAACTTGTAAAAGTTCATATATTCGTTTTTGTTTATGGTCATCATATGATCTTTTTCAATAATGTTCATAAAATTCAACACGTGTACACATACCACCATGAAATCAGAAATTACTAAATCAAGTCACATTGTAATAAACTAGATCCGAGTCTTCATATGTTGCTGATATTTTCGCCAACACTGTTTTCCAAAAGATTAACTGTTGAGACAAACCAACATGGACAAAACCTCTGTCATTAGAAGCATTTCCTCTCTAACTTTGAAATCTGTAAAATAATATAAAATAACACTAAAAAAATCAATACAGATCACTATCAAAGAAGAAAATTGAATGATCAATCTTTACAACATGACTAAGAAAAAAGCGTACTCAAAGGTAACTTAAGATCAGTTAAGACTTTTTTATTTATTAATCCTTTCTTCAGGTTTTCAATCTACCATTTCAACTAAAGAATAGAATTATATGCAAATTTCATTATTAAAAAAAATAATGCTAGTTATATCTATATATTTGTTCAATTTTGCTGCTTTTTTTCATTTGAGGAAAAATTTATATATCTTTAATTTAAAATACTTTTCCCAATGACATCTTCATACACTAGATGCAATAATCTGCAAATCAGAATGAGTATGGTCCAAAATGACTTGTATATAAATAGTACAATCTTGTGTGAATATCATATATAAAGAATTACAAATACAAACAAGTATATACTGACAAAACGTCAGAGATACTCAAGCTGTAGAAAGTCAGCTAGGAAGTGTCATTAATTAATATCCTAAAATGGTATATAATGCGGGCTATTGAGTTCAATCTTCTGTTGAATAAAATACATGTACATGAAACAAAATTCATATAGTGAATTTAATTAAAATAAATATAATTAATAGTATTACTTTTAAAGATGAATTTACGTTACACACTCTCAGGAATATTTTATAAAGGATAGTTGCCGTTTCTTAATTTAATGAAATATTTGTTTATGTAGACATTTAACATACTTCAAACTATATACATTTTGTTGGATTCTTTGCTTAATAACGTACATCACAACCATAGGCGTCGTAACCGGGGGGGGGGCTTTTTTGCAAAGATAGACATCATAGGCATTGAAAATTGGGGTCTACGTGTTTTTGTTGGTTTAGCCCCCCACCCACTTCCCCCACTTTCCCCCACTTTCAGTTTTCTTCTATGACAACATTTAATTTACATCAATCCAAATAGCTTGTTACAAGCCTGTAGAAAATTTTTTTCAAGTGGGGAGGGGGGGGGGGGCTGCAGGCTGCAACTAATCCACGTGACTACGGATTCATCCAGCTGTGCGGCATGTCCAATACATATTCCGTACGAAGCCAAAAGAAGTTAAATAGGTTCCATTACGAAACTAACGATAATACTATTTTTTACAAAAACAAACGTAATTTGTCATTAATTTGTTTTGTGCTATTATCTTATTGTCATTCAAAGTACACATCATTTGCAGGCAAGCGAGTTACAATATCAGTGGGGGGAGGGGGGCACAGCCATCAATTTTCTGGCCATGCATTGTAGAATTTGTTTAAGATGGGGTAACCTGCGTCACCTTTCTGAGTTACCAGTGGACTCGTCCAAGGATGCTTTGTCGGCGACCGAAACGTCGGCAACTGAAAGTTACCTGAGATTCCTACGCAAAAGAAAGCGCGAAATCTCTGTATAGATACTGTTGGAAAAAGAGCACCAAAGACCCAGATTTTGACATCATTTCCTGGTTGAACAAGATGAAGCAGAGTAATAAATGGGTAGGCTTTACCTGATTGGCTGAATTGAGGTATGTAAATATTTTCATTTTAAAGTAAAAATATTAATGTTTGAAATAAATGATGGAATATGGGAATATTACAAAAATTCTAGAAATACCAGGGGAGATTGTAGGAGTGGGGATTGATATTTTTGGCAGGGTGTCATTTACTGCCGATCTCTGTAAGTTCTAAATAACTGCAAATTTGACCTATAAACGCCGCGGAACGGTATATTTTTTTTCGTGTTTTTAATAAGTGCTTAGAACGAACTTTCAAATAATACCAGTGATTTGTTTGAACGGGAATTAGTAAATTACTTGGAGGGCAAAAGGTTTGTATAGAGTTCTATGGGAAATTAATTGGTACTCTTTTCCCTATAGCGGCTGCGGGGCTTCACTCATTGTTCATTCGCAATAGTAAAGAATCCGACATTAAACACTTAATATCTATGAATATACAGAGGTTTTCAAGATAAGCTTCATTTTTGTTTCTAGAAATATTTTTATCTACCAAAATAATATATTTTTGTGTTTTAAAACTGAGTAAATCGATGACCTAGCATCGTTTTTTAGATAACTCAAGCCCCTCTAGGGCTTGAGTAAAAAAGAAATTATTTTTTTTTTTCCAAATTTTGATTTACAAATAACACAACTGATTTACCATATTTGTTTACTACGCAGAGCCTTTTTACGTAGCCGTCATTGGACATTTAACTTTGAGTGACTGAGGCTCAATGAAGGATGATCCGATCTTACACAACTTAGTCAACTATTAATCGCTCATTAATGAAACCAAATTTACTCTACTCATAATATTTGACACTCTGTTTTTAATTTCACATTATTTTGAAACAATGGCGAACATTTTTGGTATTTTGAAACAAAGTAACATTTATTAATTCCCCGCTACCTAATCGTGGTCTGCAAGAAACACGTGGAAATTTTCGGATCCTCCGTATAATGTTTAACCTATTTAGAATTGATGTGCACCAGATCACAGGCTTATCATACTCAAAATGCATTACTGACACTAGGAGTTATGTAAGATAACGCTCATAACTCACAATAAACACAAAAATCGACTTACCAAATCCTACTTTCACTTTAGCCGAATATCGCATGACAGACATCAGAAATAAACTACACACAGCGAATATAGTTCTTAATTTTCGTGCAATATTGTTTAAAATTATTTGACATCGCACTGCACTTGTAAGATTAATATAGTTATTTCACAAAAAGTATTTTATAGCCTTACCTTCAAAAGAAATAACAGGAGTTTATTTCAATCGGAACTGCTAAAACTGGGCGCGTATTAATTTATCAGGTCCATTGTAAAATCCAAGAAGGAGCATTCCATGATACGATGTAAACATCTATGTAACTTTTATAAAAACACAATATTAAATATACCGATCGATACTTTCAACACATGGACATGTTTTAAGAGATATTTCTGTATAATTTCTTTGTGTAAATCGGGCACTAGAGACAACAGACTACAGAAATATTCAATAGTTTTCAATACCGGAATCATAGGAATGGCAGCCCACCGATTTCGCCTGGCGGACATGCCTAAGAGGTGAAAAACATACAATTATAGAAAAAAGACGCATATAATCCCTAGGAACAAAACAAATAGTTGTACCCATGACGTTCAACTATCTGTACATGTACAACAAATGTCATGTTATTGTTTTGTTAGACCTGCAGCTGTGCAGTCCTGCAAGTGTATTGTGCACATTGCTGCTGCAAAGCATTGCAAGTGACAACCAAATTGAATACATTTCAAGACAGCTTTGCAATAGAAGGTGCCATGGGTCATGTATTATGAAAAAGCAAGAAGTATTTATTAAGATATTGATATTTTTATTTTATACGAGTTTCACTTGGCTGAACACAAAAGCAAACCCTTAATATCTCCAGACGTGTTTTTCATTTTTTCAAAATTTTCTTCCGTTCGCGATTTTTGGGGAAATTTGTATTTTTAAAATGGATTTTTGTACACTACTTTTCTCGAAAACGGCTAAAGATATGACATTGAAACTCGTGGACATGAAAGAGCATCACATGTAGATGTGCCGAACGTCCTTCATTTTTTGTCGTTCCTACTTCCGGTCACAAACGGAAGTGAATTCAAAAAGTCTAATTTTTCAACTTTTTTGTTTTTCAATATTTTTCTTTCGGATATACAGGGTTTATAAAGCGTCTTCAAAGATGTCTATATATGTTTTCATTTTTTTTCATGCGTCCGTTTATTGCAAAGATATAACCGAACCAAACTTTGTCTTACTGTCGGGGGTTCGAATCCCGCTCGGGGCGTTCCCCAAATTCTTTCTTTGTTTTTGTCTTTTTTCAGTAACAAATTACTTTTCACTCTTTTATAACATGTGTGGAAGATTTTGCCGATTTTTAAGAGCTATATTTGGAGATATTTTGTGAAATAATTGGAACAATCACGATCTGTGTTGAGAAACTACTGTAACTCAACGTAAACGAAAAAATACATTATGAAATCTATTTCATGGGATGACGCAGCATAGAATGCAAAAGAGAAGTCGGTCGAAAGACCTGCTTGTTGCACCAGCAACAAGAACGCATCTAGTTAAGGTCTTCCGTCTCCAACGGAAGACCTTCTACTGATTCTGTTGTTTCTTTTCCACTATTATTATTAAGGTCTTCCGTTTCAGACGGAAGACCTTATAGTGATTCTACTGTTTTTTCTTTTTATTATTATTATTATTTTTTTCCCTTTTTGTTTTGACGATTTCTCAGAGATGACTGGATGGATTCAGATGAAATTTTCAGGGATAATAGAGAATTAAAATATCTCTCAAATGCAGTTTTCAGTTTTTCAAAATTCACTTCCGGTCGTCAGTTATGTCCGATTTCCGCTTTTTTCAAAAAAGTTTTGTCCGAGTCATATCTCAGAAACGGTAAGAGATTAAGACACCAAACTTATATGAGTAATAGATCTTGATAAGTAGGCAAAACCAATTGGGATAACATCATCCGCCGTCACTTCCGGTCGTCACAGGAAGTGATCAAAGAAATCAAAAATTTCAACTTTTCTTCTTTGAAATTTTTTTGCATCACATTATAGCATCTTGTTTGTAGTTTCGAAATATATCAGTCCCACCGGAAACAAAAACGACAACTTCCGGTTATAAGAGAAAAACTGCATATTTTCTGTATTTTTCTCTCCCATAAATATTTTTCATACGTAATGTATTTGAAATGATTTTTGGATATGTTATTCAGAATGCTGATGTCTAGAGTAACGTCAAATATCTTTGTAAAATTTACTTCCGGTCGCGTGATTTCCGGTCCTCAAATGAGAAGTTATCATAGCTCGATCTCGTAAACGGTAAAAGATTAAGACACCAAACTTATCTAGAGTGATAGATCTTGATGAGTAAGCAAAATCAGTTGTGATAATATTGTCTGCCGTCACTTCCGGTCGTCACTGGAAGTGATCCAAAAAATCGAAATTTTCAACTTTTTTTCATGAAACTGTTTTAGCATCACATTAAAGCATCCTATTTGTAGTTTTGAAATAATTCAGTACCACCGGAAACAAAAAAGACAACTTCCGGTTATAAGAGGGAAACTACATAATTTCAGTATTTTTCTTTCCAATAAATATCATTTATTTATAAAGTATTTGTAATGATTTTTGGATATGTTATTCAGACTGCAACTATCTACATTAACGTAGAGGATTTTTGCAAAACTCACTTCCGGTCACGTGATTTCCTGTCCTGAAAATGAGAAGTTATCATAGCTAGATCTCGTAAACAGTGAAAGATTAAGACACCAAACTTAATAAAGTGGTTAATCGTGATGAATAGGCAAAAACAATTAGGATAAGATCGTCACAGGAAGTGATCAAAGAAATAATAAATTTTAACTTTTCTTTATGGAATACTTCTTGGCATCACACTATTGCATCGTAATTGTTGTTCCGATATATGTCCGTTCCAAAAGAAACAAAAACAGCAACTTCCGGTTATGAGAGAAAAACTTTATAAATCGAGTATCACACTATCCCATAAATATATTTTATAGAATGAGTATTTGAAATGATTTTAGACACGTTATTAAGATTGCAAATGTCTCGAGTAACTACAAATATCTTTTTAAAAATTGAATTCGGTCACGTGATTTCCGGTCCTCAAACTGAGTAGTAAGCATAGCCAGATCTTTGCAATGGTAACAGATCAAGACAATAAACTTATAGAAATAATAAACCTTGAAGAGTGGGCAACAGATATAGGGATAAATGCCTCCGACGTCACTTCCGGTCGTCACAAGAAGTGATTTTAAAGAATCAAAAATTTCAACTTTTTTCCATTTTTTTTTTTGCATTACATTATTGCATCTAATCAGTAGTTTTGAAATATGACAACCCCACCAAAAAGAAAACAAAAAACAACTTCCGATTATAAGAAATAAAACTACGTCAAGATCAAAAGGTCAAGGTCATTGGAAAAGTATTAAAATTGCTTATATATGTCTTTCCCCCAAATGACCTTGACCTGAGATATTTGACCTTGACCCTTACTCAAGAGTTGAAAAATCTTTATTATATTTAGCTTGATTCAGCTTCAAGTATTACACTCAATTTTATAAGGTTTTTTATGACCTTGACCTTTGACTTCGATAAATGACCTTGACCTTTTAACCCCATTCACCTAAAGGTCACAATCAAGCTTGAGTTCGTGGACATATTTACATTTCTCACTTTAACAAATACTAATATACCCCCTCCCCCTTTTTTCTCTTGAAAGAAATCGATACCAACATAGAAAAATTTTGTATAATTCAAACGACACGACATATCGACATGAAATTTAAGGATTGCAGTAGAAGACATATCAAAGAAAGTGTCCTGAGGGTGGAACGGTGAGTCTCTGAAGTATGTAATGAAATTCTAATGTGTATCGGAAAAAACTACATTTTTTTCTGTCTGAAATCTAGGTGCTAATGAGCATAAAAATTAATTAAAACTTGCATTGGCTATTTCTTCAGTTTTTGTCAACAGCATTCGATTCTCCTGCTTTAATGCAAAATTTTAATACCAAGTATTCTTGATTTCTTTTATATGTAGAATTTATTTCAATTTTATTTACAATTAATATTCATTGAAGGAATCTGGGAAAAAACAATTTTTCCTATCAAATGAATTTCTACGCAATTCAGATAGGTTAGATAGATTGCAGTTATCTCGCTTTGTACGTTGCAGTGTTGAGAAAATGCCCGTGACTCACAAATTATGACAACAAATTACATGTAATCTGCCTAGTAGAGTGCACATGTACCAAAAATGCACCCAGGACAACCCAGAATTTGGTTTGTTTTTCCAAGCAGGGTAAAACTCCCAGTATTCTGTAACTCAATCTATGCCCTAAAGAAAATTCACCAATTGATATGGGGTCATTCACCTTCTTCTAAGGCTTACGGCTTTTCAGCTTAATTTCTTCTGCAACTGACCACGTGTATTAGTTTCGCATTTACAGCTCTGTATATGCTAAGTGTCATAGTAATACCTACATGTTGCACATCATTTTTTTTCAGCAAGCACTCTGATTCACTGCAAATGTGTCTCATAATTATTCTAATCATTTTTCTACATCAAATATCACATCAAACAGGGAATATCTCAGATTTTAAAGAAATTTGACCGGGACTTTACCACGAAACTATTTCTTTCAATACGAAACTATTTCCTTCAACCTTAAAATAATAAGCTTACAAAATACCTTTAATGTTGTGGAACTAGATGGCTCAGTGGTTAGCGTGTCCGACTTTCATACTAATGGTTCTGGGATCGAGCTCAGATTTAGGAATTTTTTTTTTTTTTTTTTTTTTAATTTTGTCTATTTTTTATTTGTTTTTTTTTTAAATAGAAAAATCTCCTTCTTACAGATAAATAGAGAAGAACGGAAGACCTTATTTGTTGCTGTAGCAACAAGAGTTTCTAGTTATTATTCTTTTTTTTCTTACCGATTTTGTGCAGACGATTTCTCGAGAACGCCTCGACAGTTTTCAGCACTTTCAGCTTTCACTTTCAGCAATGATTGGAAACTGTTTGAACTTTATGCGTTTTTTTTTATTTTGCCGTCGTCACTTCCGGTCGCGAGATACGGCCAATTTTCTATTTTTGAAGTGTCATTTTGTCCGAGAGTGTTACCAAAAACCGTTGAAGATTGAGTCCTGAATCTTTCAGGGATGATAGATTATGATTCGTAGATTTGAGAAGAGTATAATATTTTTGTTGCCGTCACGTCCGTTGTCCACCGGAAGTATTTTAAAAATATGCAAAATTTTATTTTTTTCTTTTTTAAATGTTTCTTATTAAGTCAAATAGAGTGTCTCGAGTAAAATTATGTCCACCGGAAGTCATTCCTTCCAAACCGGAAGTTGTCCAAAAAATGAACATTTTTCGTCAAAATTATCAGGGATGATTCCTTCACACTCAGAGAGGAGTTATAGGTCATTTTAAGTACTTCCGGTCATACCGGAAGTGAATATTAAGACCGGAAGTTGTTTGAAATTGATCAATTTCACTCTTTAATGTGTTCTTAAAAACAGTAAAGATTGAGTCTTGAAAGTTTCAGGGATGATAGATTGTGACTCGTAGAGTTGAGATACATATAAAGTTTTTGTTGCCGTTACGTCCATTTTCCAATGGAAGTAGTTTAAAAATATGCAAAATATTGTTTTCTTCTTCTGAAAATGTTTCTTATCGAGGCAAGTAGAGTATTTCGAGTCATAATATTTCCACCGGAAGTCATTTCTTCCAAACCGGAAGATGTCCAAAAAATGATCATTTTTCGTCGAAATTATCAGGAATGATTCCTTTACACTCAGAGAGGAGT